CATGAGAAAGACTGCTCCTTCTGACCAGATAGACTTGATGATGTAAGGACTAATCCAATTGGGTCTGAACTTGCCCTTAGAGTCATGGAACGAAGCTCGGTTGTCTTTGAGCACCAGATCTCCTTCCTTGAGATCCCTAGACTTAACCTTCTTGTTAAAAGCCTTAGCAATTCTGTGTTGGTAGCCTTGGACATGATACAATGCTTTCAGCCTTCTCTTATCAAACAACATTAACTCCTCGAATCTATTTTGTTGTCAGTCGGCCTCTGCTATCTGACACTCAGCCATAACCTGCAGTGATGGTACTTAATTTCAATTGGTAGAACAGCTTCCATACTGTAAACGAGAGAATATGGGGTTGCCCCTGTAGACGTTCGGATTGAAGTTCTATTGCCCCAAAGTGCAAACTGCAGTTTTTCTAGCCAGTCTCTGTAGGTCTCAACCATCTTCTATAAAATATTCTTGATGTTCTTGTTCGCAGCCTCAACAACTCTATTGGTTTGCGGCCTGTACATAGATGACTTATGAAAAGCCACATTGTATTTCTCCAACAAGTCTATCACCTCCTTCTTGAAGTGAGAACCATTATCTAATATGATCTCGTTTGGGACTCCATATCGACAACTGATGTTATTTCTGATGAACTTAGCCACATGTACTACTTTCAACACTGCATAGGACTGGGCTTCCACCCACTTTGTAAAGTAATCAATTGCCACCAGAATGTATTCATGCCCATTCGACCCTTTTGGTGTAGCTACTTCAATGACGTCGATTCCCTAGACTGAGAAAAAACATGGTGAAGTCATGTTGTACAACTTCAATGGTGGGATGTTCATGCGATTAGCATGAATTTGGCATTTGTGGCATCGCCGAACGAAACCAATACAATCCTCGTCAATGGTGGACTTGTAGTAACCTTGCCTAAGAATCTTCTGGGCTAACATGACTCCGTTCATGTGTGTTCCGTACTCCCCTCCATGGATGGCTTCCATCAGGCGCTTTAACTCTTCCTCTTTGACATATAACTTGTGCATTCTCATATGACCTCTTTTGTATAGTTTGCCTCTGCAAATGATAAATTGGGCAACCATCCACCGCATTCCCCGTTTATCTTTGGTGTTTTCCCCTGGTGGATAATCCTCTTTTTTCAAGAAGTTCTAGATGTTGAAGTACCAAGGGTTTTGTCTTGTGCAGCATCTATCATGGTGATAGTTTCATAGACTGGGGTGTATTTCTACTCAATGATGATCGGACGCATCCAGACTCTAAGCAGGATGTTTACCATCGAAGATAGGGTTACTAAAGCATCAGCGTACCTATTCTTCTCTCTTAGTAGATGCGTAAAAGTCAACTTTTCAAACTTAAGAATCAGAACATCCAGGGTCTGGTGATAAACCTTCATCTTTTCTTCCGTGACTTTCCAATCTCCATTTGCTTACGAAACAAATAAGTTCGAGTCCCCGATAACATCCAACCATATTGCCCCTAGTTCTAGGGCAGCTTCTAAACCAGCAATACACGCTTCATATTCTGCTTCATTGTTGGATACTTTGAAACGTAGCTTGAAGGCTAAAGGTATGTGGGAGTCGTCGGGTGCTATCAGAAGCACACCTATCCCATAACCGTACTGATTGGGTGCTCCGTTAAAGTACATTTTCCAAGTCTTCTCCTCGACTTGTAGAATGGCTTCATCTGGGAACAAGTATTCAACTGTCTCATCCCCTTCTACCGGGTGATCTGCCAGAAACTGTGTTATAGCTCTTCCCTTGACTGATTTGTGGGTGATGTATTGGAGATTGACCCTTGTTCTAGCATGGTTTTGGCCAAGCTTTGTGAAGCTTTTGTGTATGTTTTAGTGTGCTTTAGCTCTTTTTTCAGTTGCTTTGGTCATGCTTAACATATTTTGTATAGTCTCTTTGCATTCTAGCTTGTAGGCCTTGAATGTGTGATGTCATGAGCATGCTTTACTTGCTTTAATTAGTTGGTTTGGCACCTCTACTTTATGCAATTTTAGAGTTTGGTATGCTTGCCATATGCCCATGATCATCTCTTTTAAGTGTGCTTAAAAGTTGCCTTTTGATGCTTAGGAATTGGATCATGAATGCATGCATGCTTTTATGTGCATTCGGCCCCATTTCCATAGTTTATGGCCACTGTTTTAGGCTTGTTTGAGGGCTGCCTAAATTAGTTTAAGTCCATCCTTCATGTGTTATAACATGCTTGCCTTGTGCATTGTTGCATACTCGGCCTATTATATGTTATTGCTTGCTTGAAATCATGATGCATTTGGCATGTATTTCATTGGCTAAGTTGCTTTGCATTGTTCCTATGCTTAGTTCACCTTACATGTTGTTGCATGTTTGCCACTAGCGTAGTTGTCACATGCCTTGCATGCTCCTTTTGCATACTTAGCCTCCATACCTAGGATGCATTGCATTTGCATGCATGTTTCACCTCTTGAGTTGAGTATGATAGAGGTGGAGCCCCTTTGTTTGATTATGTGCATTGCATCCCTTATCAAAATGCATACTTGGTTTCTTGGGCCATCACGCATTGAAATGCGCGATTGGTGGTCCGAAAATCGAGGGCCATGCCCATTTGAGTCATAAACATGACAAGGGATGTGGTTGGTGCATACATTGCTTGAAATGCATTGCCATGCTATGTTTTGTCCTCTGCTGCTGTCAAAAACAGATTCTGCAGGAAGCTTTGGCCGACCGGCCATCTATACTGCCGACCGACCAAATATGGATGGCCTAGAGCCCAACAAATGGTCGATGACCATTCTCCATGGCCGGTGACCAATTCCCTCAGCCGATGGTGTTCCACAGCATTCAGGGAAGCAACCCTGAGATTTGTGCAGTCTTCAGAGAAGGATAACAGTCAAAGCAGAGGCAACTTGTGCATGGCAGTGGCTTTCCGAGCGGAGCCGAGCGCGCATTGTATTGCGCCCTCTTCTCGAGGCTATTTACTGTTTTATTAGATTAATTAATTTGTTAATTAATTAATTGGTCTGTAATATTTAACTAGCTTGTAGGTTAATTAATTTGTATTATTCTTTCGGTCCCTCCGAACGAGGGCAAAGTTGTCATAAGTGTGGGTGCGTGTGTGCATGTCTTCCAACCCCCACTTGTTTCTCCCTTTTACTTACCTGCTTTTGATGGTTAGTATTAAGACATGTGTACTTTAGCATACCTTATGCTATGCATGCGTGCATCATTCATTAGTCTTGCATGCACCAGGCTCGGCGCATCATGCTAACTGCATAAAGTATTTCAAATCTAATTTGAATACACGCTATCTGTGCATTCTCACATGTCATCCTTAGATTAGCCGAGCCTATTCTAGATTGTATTCTGTATGCGTTTCATTAGCCACTTAACATGGACTTGGATCATGCATTGATTGCTAAAATGTTCTTGTCTTGGCTCGGAGTACATTGTAAGTATTTTTATGCTTTAGCATCTCGCATGAGTGTGAATGTCAACATGACAGCATGCTTACCATGTGGCTAAATGCTTATGTGATATAGCCTTGCAACTATTTTTAGACTTGGTATATAACATATAAAAGTGTCATTTTTACATACTCTAAATAGTTGTTTAGAGTACTTTGAGCTTTGAGGCTGTTTGACCCCTCTTAAGCCTTGTTAGGCTCTATTTTTGTGCCATTTTGGTGAGCTCTGGGACCATTGTGTTTGGGCCTCCTCACCACTGAAAGTAGAGGCCGATCTTCGGATCGGGCGAGAGGGGGTGCTCATAGCTGACCTTCCCCAATTGTACCCAAGTTCCCGAGCCGAGGCAACTTTGGTGATGACGGACACGTGGCCTTTGGCACCGAGTCAGGGTTTCCTAAATTTCCCAAAATAAAACATTTAGGTGGCGACTCTGTATCTGGCAAAGCAGTCCATGTTTTGCACTTCTTTTCAAAAATCTGTTTCTCAAAACGATTTGTCGGATTTGGACTCTTTGGTTCAGATTAAGAACCGTGACAATTTGAGAGTCCTAAACTGTAGTGACCCCAATATGAACGGAACGGGATTCATCCTCTCGGGGCGTTCAGGGACGTCTACAGTAGCCCTCACCCCTAAAGTGGAGGTTCATACTCCCCAGGCTACCCATCTTCGAGTCTTGCCTTCTCCGCCTATGGAGGCATCACTATTCTTCTCTTTTTTTGATTTTTCTTTCACCTTAAATGTTCAAACCCCTTGTTTTGTATATATATATATATATATATGTAGGCTAGCACGTCTCCCATGGCCCCAACTCTTGACCTACTTCAGCAAGCCAGTGCCTTTCAGCAGTCAATTTCTAGTACTACTTATGAGGAAAGGTTTAAGAAACTCTTCTCCTGTGAACAACAAGAAGTTGACCAGTTATTTCTTTTACTAAGCCTCTCCTTTGAAGATCTTGCCCTCACCAAGGCTGAAGAACTTCTTAGTGAATTTCAGAGCTTTGTGCTTTTAGCAGAAAGGCTCTTAGATCTTGATCAATTCTACATCTTTCAAGACTTTATGGGCTAGCTTCCTTCACACATTTCCTCCACGGTATAGTTTGAAGCTAGGACTAAGGCTGCCAATGTTAGGATGGCCTCTGTGAGGCAAGTCTTCTACACTCTAGCCAATGCTCCTGCCAGAATCCAAGCCATTTCCAGGGCTAGTGAATCCATCTATGAGAGGAAGACTGCTATTCTAGCTCAAATTCAATAGCTCCAGGAAAAATTGGCCGTAACTGAGGTTCAACAAGCTACTTTGATGGGGTGAACAAAGCCATATCAATTAACAGATGAACCAGCTCCTGGCTCAGGATGGACCAGCTGCCCTCAAGGGAATCTTTTCCAGGTTAAGGCAAAAAGGAGAGCCATTTTGTCTTCCTGGGCCAGTTTTGTAACTACTCTAAAGGGGAACTAAGACCCTTTTTTTTTTTTGGACTAGACAGTGAAATGTACATGGACCCCACTTGAATATTATTAATGAAATCATTTTTTTTTATTTTATTTTACCCATGCTTGATGCTTGCCCACATGGTTGGATAATGTTTCTTTAAATACTTTCCATTTATAACTCTTCTGTATGGGACTCCCTCTATAGATGCAAGATGATAAGCTCCTCCCTTGAGAACCTTGTAAATCTTGAACAACCCTTCCCAATTTGGAGACCACTTTCCCAAATTTGGATCTTTGCTTCCCAAGGGCAGTATGATTTTCCATACTATACTAAATTTCCTTTCTGAAAATACTTTAGTCTTCACTCTTTTATTATAAGTTCTTTCAACATTCCTTTTTTTAGCCAAAAGATGGTTGTAGGCCATAACTCTCCTTTCTTCCAAATCTTGCACCTCCATCATCATGGCCTCAGCATACTCATCGACAGGGATGTCATAGTACAAGGTCACTCTACTGGACAGGACTGTTACTTCTAAGGGCAATACTGCATCATGGCTATATACCAATTCATAATGGGTAGTCCTAATATTATTTTTCTTGGAGTTCCTATAAGCTCATAATACATTAGATAACAAACTATGCCAATCTCTAGGGCTCTCTTTTACCATCATTTCCAACGTATTTTTTATCATTTTGTTGGTGGACTCAGCTTGCCCATTGGCTTGAGCAAAATAAGGTGATGACTTGAGGATTTGAATGCCATATTCTTTGGCAAACTCCTTGATTTCATCCCGATTAAACATGGCGGATTGATCCATTATGATCGACTGAGGTAAACCAAACCTATGTATTATGTACTTTTTCACAAAATCAATCACATGGCTTTGGGTCACCATTCTTAGCGACACTACTTCTACCCATTTGGTGAAGTAATCTGTAACCACTAAAATGTAAGAATGCTACTTTGAGGAATGGGGGAAATTTTGCCAAATCAGGTCCATTGCCCATCCTCTGAAAGGCCAAGGTTTTACTATAGAATGCAATACAACTGCTGGCACTCTCTGCAGACTGTCGTGCTTCTAGCATGCTTGACATCCCTTGGAATAAGTTATGCAGTCTTTTCTTACTGTCGACTAGAAATAACCATATCTACTGGCCATCCATCTCATCTTCTCTCTAGCTTGATGAGCATTACATATACCCTCATGCACTTCAGTCATTACCTTCATTTGCTCATCGTGGCCTATGCATATTAATATCATGCCATCATGGGCCCTTCTAAACAAATCATTCCCCATGATGACATAATTCAAGGCTTGATCCTTAACTTGCCTGCCAACCTTTTCTCCAGGTTTCCTCAAATATTTGATCAAAGGGTATCTCCAATCCTCCTCTACCACTTCTACATGCATTATGGACAAGAAATTTTTCTGTCGATCCCTTAATCTGGAGAAACTTCTCCTTTGAACCCTAATTATTCTTTCTTGGCTTTCCTTTGGAATTCACACTCCTGAAGCTGCTTGGGCCATTTAGTTGTCCTGCTTATTTTCTATCCGGAACATGTGCTGAAAACTTATATGGCTGAAAAAGCTTATCAGCCACTTGACCTCAGCCATATATTCTTCTAGGGCTTTGTTAGCACACCTATACTCCTTTTTAATTTGCTTAATGACTAGTTGTGAATCCCCAAATACTTGCAAGCTAGTAATTTTTGAGTTCTATAGCCAATTCTAGACCTATGATCAAGGCTTCATATTCAGCCTAATTATTAGACGTGATAAACTATTCATTGAATTAGAGTGAGAATTGATGAACTTTTTTGATTCTTGCAAATTTCCAACCCAAAAGTTCCCTACAACCATTACAGTGAATATTAGCAACTGTGTTAGCACACTTCATTCGATAATGTGCTTCGCCAGCAACATCTACATTGACTCTGCAAAACACCAAAGAAAATGCAATGCAAATTAGCAAGAAGACGCTGAAATCGGTCATTGTTGAATTTAAAATTCTTGGTAATAGGAAGTCCAAATTGCATTTGTTGTGGTGATCGCTAATCTCGAATCAGAACTCAGAACTATCTCTGCCCACCAAAGAAGTTTCATAGAATTGTATTAATGATGATTAACTTACACATTTGCAAAGATACCGGCGTCATCAATCATTTACGTCCTGGAAAGCAGATTGAAACAGCAATTAGAACATAGACTTGCTTTCTGCTTTTAAATTTTTTTTAACAAAAAACGTAAATATGTTTATATGAAATCACCATATGCTAAAAGCAATATATATGTTTATATGCACAGATATATACAGATTTTTCTTGCAATCTAATTCAAGCTAATATGAGTACCAATTAGATATATTATTGGTTCAAAACTCACACACTGACCCGTCTTTATGATGCTTTAGATTGTGTTTGTATCTGGAATTTGTGAAGGGATTTGCATAAGGAAATCACTTCCCTTTTCTTTTTCCTCTACAAATCGTTAACAAATTATTTATTATTGGCTCAAAATGCACGCAGACCCATCTTGGGGTCTCCAAAAAATTCAGAATCAGTATATGGGTGTACGATTGTTCTTCAATGCAGTAGTAACAAACAAGAACTTTTGATAATTCCATAATCAAATAAGCCTTGCACTACAACATTTTTGAATAACATCTTAAAAAGAATTGATTTGAACAACTTTAGCAACAACATGGAAAATCTTGCGAATTAGATGACATTGTGATGGTTCTGTTATTCTTAACAATCACATGTGAGAGAGAGAGAGAGATTTTACTGCGAAGTTACGCACAAAATTTTTGGTCAAGACAAGGTGGGTACTACATTGACGGCAGAGGTAGAAATGGACGTCCGGAGTTTGACCGAATGTAGCCATCAGTGTATCTACATATAGTATGTTCTTTCCATCCCACTTCAGGAGTTTGTTCCTACTTGCAGATTTTGAATCAAATCCATAAGAAAAAATCAAAATTGAAATACCAAAATAATAATAATAATAATAATAATAATAATGATAATAACAATGCACAGAATTGGTGCATGGCTCTACTTTTCTGTGCATGTAGCAAAACTGTTGAAGTATAGTGGTATTTATTTATTTGTTTCAAAACTTACAAATACAGTAGGAATCTTCCCGTCATAACTGCATCATTTTCCTCTGGCAGTTCAACCTAAACCATATAATAACCATTTTGTTAGAAAAAATTTAGTCAAATGCAAGAATAGATATATATAGAAACTCTCAAAAGAAATAGACACTGTGATTCTTACAAATTTCCAACCCAAAAGACTCCTGCAGCCGGTACAGTTAACATCAACGACCGTGTTAGCATGCTTCATTCGATAATGTTATAGGCCAGCAACATCCGCATTCTTACTGCAAACCTGTAGACACCCCATTTTTGACCGACCTTAAGACTCAGATGTCACCGATAGAGCACTTGGTGATGCTGCATATCGCGCTCGTTCAGAAGTCTCAGAGTCGCGGCCTTGAGCCCCGCCTCCAGACTTCCGAACCCTCTGTTGTGCCTTGCCTCGGTTTTCTCTGTTCCTTTTCCTGAGGGGAGGGAGAGGTCCTGTAGACCATCTCTCAGTGGCCGCGAGCTATATTTTGTGGCTATAGGCCATTTTGCCCATTTCGGAGCCCGGTTTCCGGTTTTTCGGGACAGTTGGCCGTGTGCCTCGGTTCGGGACCGCTTAACCATCTTCGTTCGCTTTGATTTTTCGCATGCACCTTATTTGCTCCCTTTTGAGGGACACTGAGGTCTGAGAGACCCACTTCGTGGCCGAATGCCACTTTCGGTGTTTAACAGGCAGTTTTCAGGGCCCCGAACTGCGCGTTCTGGCCCCCGAGCATTCGTTCTGCATCGGTTTTCGTTCATTTTTGGCAGGTACCTCTGTTTTATCACCAGGAAGGCCGTAGAAGGGTGAGAGGCCAGCAATTGTTTTAGCAACCAATTTTATTCCTCCGGCGCCCTCCGACGCCCGATTTTCTTCACTTCCGAGCCAATGTTGAACAACCTTAGGCCATTTTCTTGAACTTTGAACCACATATCTGTGTTGTACACACATGGGAGGACAGAAAAAGTTGGTGGCCGGCCAGTAATTCCACCTGACCCTTTTGACCCCTTTCTAAAAATGGCCTATTCTCTCTCCTGTTTTACAGTTTCCAAATTTGAACCACAGGGTTGTGTTGAGGGCACCTGCGAGGATACCTATTTGTGGTGGCCGGCCAGAAAATCAACTTGACCTTTTTGACCCCTAGTCGGCCGGCCATGGGAGGTAGCCGGCCGGGCACCTGCAGCTTTGAAAGTTGGCCGGCCATGATCCTCACAAAATGCACTTTACAGCTATATAGTTGTTGTCCCCCAAAAATATCTAAATCCGGGGGACACCTTTTGGGGAAAGGACTTGGTCCTTTTCCCCCACCCTTTCCCTCCATGCTCCCCCTCTCCTTGGTCCATATAACCAGCTGCCATCTCTTGTGTTAAGGGTTAGAAAAAATTGCTTCAAGCATGGCATTCATATCTCCCTCCATTTCTCTAATTTCCTTAAAAATTCCTAAGTCCTACACCTTATTTCTTCATCACCACCAAGCACTACCACCACTACTCCATTTCCAGCAGTTTGAGGAGCTTTCCAGCAGTTAAGAGGCATCACTTCTCAAGCCAAGAAGCAATCAAAGACTTGTCTTCAAGGGTGAGTACCATTTCCCTCTTTTTTGGCTTATTTTTGCATCATTTGTAAGTCATATATGCTTGCTGTTTTGAGCTCCGACCAAAACTGAAAAGGTCATTTTTTTTGAGCTCGTTTTCTTGTTTCATTAAGGGCTCAACCCTGTTTGAGCCCTCCATATTGCACTTGCTTCAATATCCTCCTTGAATGCCATTTTCTTGCATGATATTTCTAGCCTATATGTGATCTGTTTTGGAGCATGATGTAAACTGTGAATATGCTTATTTTGAGCCCCTCTTCAACATTGAAGAAGGGCTCATCACTGTTTGGGACCTCCATGTACCACTTGTCATTATACCCCTCCTTGGTCCCCATTTTTGCATGATTTGTTAACCTATTGTGCTTCTATTTTTGGACATTTTTCAGAACTTAAAATAGTCTTATTTTGGTCTCCTCTTCATTTTTTATTGAGGGTCTTTCATGGTTTGAGGCATATTTTATACACTTTGTGTTATATCTCTCTTTTGGTCCCCATTTTTGCATGATCTATTAGCCTATTATGCTTCTGTTTTTGGTCATTTTACAGAACCAAAAACAGTCTTATTTTGACCCCATATTCATGTTTCATTAAGGGTCTTTGGCTGTTTGATGAATGTTTTGTATACTTTGTGTTTTGACCTCTTTTGGGCCCTATCTTGCATGGCATTTTGAGCATACTTGTATACTGATATAGGCTTGGCCATCAACTGTAAAGTGTATTATTTTTGGTCCCTCTTCAGTGTTGTAGAAGAGTCTTTTTCTTTTTGGGCTTTTCATCTACCACTTGCTTCTTTGTCCACTCTTTAGGGCCATTTTTTGCATGTTAGTTTTGCCCTATTTCTGTTTGTTGTTTGGCCATGCTTTGAACTGTAAAAGTGCTTATTTTGTGGCTGCCTTGCTTCTTCATTTTCATTCCATGTACCGATTATGCATGCTTTGTATAGCTGCAAGCCATTTCATGTACCTAGTTTTGCATTTCGGGAGAAATTCCATGCATTGGGTGTCATTTCGCCTTGTTTCGGGGCTGTTTTCCCCCCATCTTGCTACTGATTTTTTGCATGTTTGCATGTCATATTCCATGTCTTTTCCATGTCT